ACTTCATGCTTGGAGCTGTGATTGGTCAGGATGCTTACAGCACACAGAAGAGACACTGTAAGTAAGGCTCATTTGCATAGTGCATATACACTGATCAGTCATAATATTAAATTATTAAATGTAATTTAATAATTAATAATTATTAAATATACCTGCTTGTTTCTGCACTCATTGTCCATTTTATCAGTTCCTTTTACTATATAGGTGCACTTTATAGTTCTACAGTTACAGACTGTAGTCCATCTGTATCTCTGTATACTTTGTTAGCCACACTATATTTATTAGTGTATACTGTGCAGTACAATAAAGGTGGACAAAACTAGTTCCCATTCTTATGATTAAAGCATGCCTCGCAGGAACACCCTTATAATGTGACGTTAAAGGAAGTCTTTTTTGGGCCAGACAGGTAACATAAAAAAAAAATACATGCTGGCTTGGCATGTCACATCAGCTTTGACCAGCAGGGGGTGGTTGTTTTTTCCCCTTACTCACCATGAAAAAGATGGAAAACATTACTGTGGAGCTAACAGGCTAAAATGATCATGCCATTCCAGCTTTGACTACAAAAGTGCAATTCAATTCACACATGTCTAAGCCACTTATCCTACCGGGTCATGGGGGGTGCTGGGGCCTACCTTAGTGGTCATTGGGCGGAAGGCAAGAAAACAGTGGACAGGTCGCCAGTCCATCACAGGGCAGCAATTTTATTCAACAGAGTGCCGATCCAAATGCTACTAGAGAACTGGCCCTTATACAGTTATAGGTGAGTCAAATTGTACAGTGGTTCTTTTTTGTTTTTATAAATGTTGATTATAACAGGTCTGGAAGAATTTGTTAGCTTATTGAGTCTGACAGCAAAAGATCATGTATGATGGATACATGCTGTCTGAGCCCTTTTGGTTAGCTAGAGTTTCTTTATTGTTTGTAACAGACTGTAATAGCTCACAAACCTCAATATAGCTATTAACATAATTTGTCTTGGTGAGTTAGCCAAGTTTAATTTTTTACCATTTCATCTAATTTGCTTAATTTTTTTAAAACCAGGGTATTAAATTTACAATGTATTTTAGAGCATTTAGACCACTTGCACACCATTGTGAAGTCTCTATCTATCTATCTATCTATCTATCTATCTATGTATCTATCTATCCATCCATCCATCCATCCATCCATCCACCCATGAATATATAGACAATTTTTTGGCTGATTTCAGTGTGTAATAAAGACAGAAAAGGCTAATGTTATATTCCAGATGCAGGGAAAAGTCCAGATGCAAATTTTCATCTTTTGCATTGAGATAAAATACAAATCCACATATACAGTGTTCGTTTTCTCATTTACCATTTTATATATCTTTAAAATGGTCCTGAAGTTTGGCTGGTGGTGCTGTTATGCTGTGAAGAGTGACTGGAATTCAATTTTCTTACTGTATCTACAGCAGATGGGCTTATGCACATTTAACCTTGTACACTATGACCTTATATGTACCTTTTGTTAACTATAATGGATTTAGAGATTCTCGTTGGTAATTAATTTAGTGTGTACACTGCCATGTCAACTTGCAGTATAAGATGAGAACTTTGAATAAGTTGAATAATGAGGTTGTGTATATGTATTTAAGTACACACATGTAAAATACTATAGTATTGGCTTACATTATGCTACACAAAGCATACTGTATTAATACATTTTTGTTTATAAAATGCTAAATCCAACACAACTGCATAAGCCAATGGGAAAAGATGGAACATTCATGATGTTGGTGTTCTTGTCTTACTGCAAGCCAGACAGGAGGTGTGGGCATTTCTGTTTTGGCTACTCATATCTTAAGGGTATTCTCCTTACTGCAATATAACTCCATTGACACAATGCACTAAGGAAGATTAAAGGGGAATTTGATCAAATTTTTGAAATCTCTTCAAAATTTAGTTGTTGAGATGCAAACAAAGTCATTCAGAGTGGTTTGATGTGATGTGTCTTTACAGTGGTGGTGATAGGAACCAGGGGTCACAATATGTGCAATGCAAATATAGCCATTCTTTTCACTATGCATGAAGCTCCACACCATGAAGATGTTTCAGACATCAGACAGTGGATTCATGACCATTTCATGTAATTACTTCCTGTAAGGGAGTTTTTAAAGGCATTCAACTCTTCAGATGTCTAGTTACTATCACCACCACTGTGAACAATTCTGACTGAGTAAGTTTCTCTAGAATGGAGCATTTCACATCGAACCACTCTGAATGACATTGTTTACATCTTAACCAATTAATTATGCAGAAATTTAGAAAAACCAGTGGAATTCCACTTTAACTCTTTGGTTGTACCCTTCATTTCACCTTTTAGCAGCTTAAGCACCATCAAAAACAACTATTACTGCTGCACCATCAACATAGGGTTCCTGAAACTGATTCTGTTTTAAAAAGTTAATAGACGAATGTGTGAATATTTGGGAAAAGTTTATTTAAGGCACTACTAATTACTGTACCAATGCAAGGTTGATAAAGATGAGGTAGATGATCCTCTAAGGTGGGACCCATTTTTGGCCAGTTCTTAGTCAGCCAGACAAAGTCCTGCAAGTGAACACTGCTGTCAGAGTTATCACTTTCTAAAATACTTGCACAATGTATAGACTCTCTAACACCCACTTTGATGTTTTAGTTAAAATATTTCTAAAATAATCAAGTGAAAAAATAGATATGCCTTCAAGTTATATAGTCCTGCATTTACACAACTGTTCAAGAATCTGGCATCAATGCTTTCAATACTTTCAAAACTGATTTGCTTTAAAATGATTAATGATGATTAATACGCCTTGTGCAACTGCACAGATTTTAAATAATTAGTAGAAAATTAGGAAGCAAAATAGAAAAAAAAATGATGAGTTTTCTAGTCAGAGCTTTTTGAGTGTTCCAATAAAATTAAAATCCAGATTGATGTTCTGAAAAAAGAAAATATCCAGAATAAAGTTCTACCAAGATTAATATCTAGAAAGAAGTTCTAATAAAATTACTATCCAGAATGCCTCATAATTTAAAACGGAAGATATCAAGTCTGATTTGTTGACAAATTCTGTAAATAGTGTAAATTAATAATTAGAGTGTATTATTTATCATCTATTTATTATTATTAACTTTTGTTGCTCCTCAAATCACCAAAATATTGAACGGAAATAGTTTAGCATCTATATTGTAAGTTATTATTGTACATAAAAAGCAAAAATGACTAACAAATGATGTCAAACCTTTGAACAGTAGTGTAGTTTTTGTCAATAGAAATAAAAATACCAAAAATGAAGTCATTATCCTGAGCTTTGCTCTGCTGTCATGACTTCAATCTCAGGTGGAGAAATAAAAGCTCACATTGACTCCAGGTCTTCATTCTTCTCTCCGTCTTCATACAGCAAGCTTATAATTATGCATCAGTGCCTGTCAGCTCTGCAAAATGTTGACATCTTTTCTATTAGCTTTCTGTTACATTCTTAGTCCTGACGTTACTATATAGTCTGCTGTGGACATCGAGGGATATCAGAGAAATTCTATAGTGGGTTTCCAAAGCATAATACTCCATGACAAGACAGTGATTACATACACAGTCTGAGTCGGTCTTCTGCTGGCAGAGACTACATGTCCAAAAGTATCCAGACACATTGTAATTAGTGAATTCAGCTACTTTAAGGTGGACCCATTGCTGACAAAGCCATGTAATATCTATGCTAAATCATTAGTAGTGTATACAATCCTAACATCTCCATGTACAATACCAAGTGTCACCATTCAGCCCATATTATTCAAGGGGATACTTCACTACTGCACCTCGCCCCTATGCAGGCCATCAGGCCTTTGCAACTGTTCCAGATTTCAGCGGCAACCTAACTTTCCATGTGTCCCTCTGATATTGCATATCTTTCACTGGCTTTCTGTTGCTGCCTGCATTGGATTTAAAACCCTGATGCTTGCCTACAAGCCAAAATGGACCAGACCCTACCCAACTGATGGCAATGGTCAAAACCTGATACATACCTAGAGCCCTTTAACCTTCAAGTACAGCTCAGCTTGACCCGCCATCCCTCAAGACACATGAAGGGCAGACATCAATACTGTTCTCTGTCCCGGAATCCAGGTGGTAGAATGAGCTTCCAATGGCTTTCCTACCAGTGCTGGAATCCCTTGCTGTCTTCCAACTGAAGACCCATCTTTCTGAAATGCATTTAAATGAACACTAATCTTGCACTAAAATGTCTTATAACTGCATTTAAGAAATGTTATTTGTGTATTGTGTTGTTATCTCAAGGGTGTTCTTAAGATCCAGTCTATTTGTACTAGCTATGAATACATTTAATTTCTGATTGGATAACAAAGCACTTCAGTAAGTCATTCTGGATACGAGCATCTGCTCAGTGCTGTAAATGTAAACTGTAAGCTGCTGCAAAACCAACTAATGTGCAGACATTAAATGAATCAGTCTTTCTACCAGCGAGAAACATTAGATTAGCTTGAGATTGAAATGGGTGCTGATTAAATAACTTACATGCACTTTTGGATTATGATTCATATTGGGTTAATTTCCCAGACCCAGATTTTGCCTATATCTATAGTTTCAATGGTAAATCACAAATAGCATTGCAGCTTGGTCAAATATAAGGCTTAAATGATGCCTGGGAAACTGACCTATATTGTATTTATAGCTGTCTGCCAATTTCAGTGACACTTTTCTGTCTGTTCTATTATAGTAGCAACGTGCAGAAAGCTGATAATCATCTGATAAACCAAAAGAAAACAAAAAGTCCAACAAAGCTGACAGGATTACACTCTTATTATTATGTATTATTATATTATTAGTAGCAGTATTATTATATTATTATGTTATACTATTATTCTGTGATTATAAGTCGGTTTATATAACTAGCTTGCAACAGGCCAGCTAGTGTTAGCTAAAAGATCTTCTTCTGTTTAAGATTAAATAGCTAGTTAGCTCTCTTATTAATGTAACTTAGTATATTTAGCAAACCCCTGTGCATAAAGTGGACCTGATTCTAGTTAGGTCAGGGTTTTTAATACTTAATTTTAAAAGAATTATTTCCTACTTAATGGGACAATATCACTAATAAAACACTGGAGTTGAATCAAATCTCCACATCTCGTATAAAACCTTCCTAGAGTGACAAACTCCTTATTAATACCCTTGATGTCTGGATACTTTTGGACCCAACTGGGTCAAAAAGGCCCAGATTTAGCCTATATGGAGACAAACAATATGTTCTACCACAAGTCAAGGACTGTATATAAACCACAGTGTATCTATAGCTGTTGGCCTCATTCTGGCACTTTAAACTCAATTGTTGGAGTCCATTCACTTACTGTAGCAACCTGCAGAAAACAGATAATCACCTGATGAACAGAAACAAAATCCACTAAGCCAGGCTTAAGTGATTGTGCAAGGTGAGCAAAGTGTGCATTTTCATTCAAATAAGCACTAAGTAGAAGGCTATCCTCAGGACAGCAGGAGTCTATGGAGTATAAGGGCACTAAGTGCAGTGAATGCGCTGGGCAGCAGGGTGGCGCTGTGGTTCTCTGAGTTTAGGAGCACGGGGGGCACACAGGTGGGTTCTATCGTTGCTCCTAGGGTAGAACCGCTGGAGCTCCTCTGAAGCTGGAAATTGTGTGTTAAAGCACTGAATTTTTCCGGACCGTACGGCACTGAGATGGTCTCTGTGACGGACTCATGTGCCGGGTGTGTCACCTGCAAAAAAAGACATGTATACACTCTGTGATTTTTAAGCATGCAGTAAAACTAGCGGCCTTATGGTGCTAAGTAAACTTTGCTTCCTTAGTTTTGAACTGGAGCTGCAAAGTTAATGTAGCTAGTAAGTTATGGAAGACTATAGCCCACCAAATAGCATCATGCAAACTGCATATCTAAATCATCCCATACTGTCAAGCTATTATGTAATTTCAAATTGAATGGTCTCTGACTCTGAAGTTGTTTTGCCCGTTCTTTTTAAACACCACATTTACTGCATGTAGTGCTTTAGTTCTGTCCTACAGACTGAAGGTTTTTTCTATAATGAAGGACTCATTATTTGAAGCCAGGTCAAAATGAGGTTTTTAGAAGGGCTTTAGAAGGGCTTTATTTTTGTGCAGTACAATGCCTGCAGCTAATAACGACACTAAAGTAAATATCTCTACTAAAAACTCAAGACTAGAGACACCACACTCAATTCAGACTCGCACTCCAGAGACTTGAGACTCAACTCGGACTTGCATGTAGTGACTTGTGAACGTATCTATGAAAACATAAATCTCCATAAGGCAGTAAGCATTTGTGGACACTCTGCTACAGTCTTTTCCCTTTAATACTGAACTGGGTCATGGCACCAGATACACGGGGCATGATCTTCTACATTATAAACAAACACTCCACTGCTGGACCAGTTATTGTATTTGCCTCTGGGCTGAGTGTAGTAGCAGTCTCAATAAAGGAACTTTCATTTTGTCTGGCCAGCCTTTTACTCACAATCTAGCATGAAAAATAAAGTCATTTACTGATTCATAAAGCCACTACTTCAGTTTTTACCTCTTCCACGGTGCAAGTTTTAACATAGAACATAATTCTTCCAGTCTGCCACATATGATCCCTTTATTTAGTCTTTGTGTGTGGCTTTTAGCTTAGGGCAAGAATCTGCTTTACCGTACAATCTGAAAAGCAGTCTTCTCAGACTCATTCAAGGGAGGAAAACGGAGACTGTGACTGAGATCAAACTCTATCCATTCCCAAATGAGTTGGCTTTACTGAAGCCATTAGTATTGTAACCCTCAAGTCCAGAGAGGAAACTGATCTTACAGTTGAAGTATAACTTTACTAGGCTATTGTATTGAATGCCATAGCAGCAAAGGTCAAACGTTTTGTTAATGTAAGTTTCTCAAGGTCTTAATCAACATATTTTATGTGAGTAAAATTAGAAAGTTTTATTAAATGTTGATTTTTAAGAGACATCTTATGAATACTGAATTTTCAGCATTTTACTGAAAGTTCTAAAATGCCTATATTGCATTAATGATGTGCACTCTCAGTTCACTTTATTAGAAACTCCTATCTTGCCCCACTCACTGTCCACCTTGCTCCACCTACCTTTTGGCGTTGTTATATAAAGTTGTATGCTAAAGTGCAAATGTTAATGCATAGATACTTTATATATAACCCCTTGACAAGTCATGGGCCCACTAGCATGCCAAAGTTTTATTACACACCTCTGTAACCTAAGAATAGCTCCATTAGTTTGCACTGAAGTCCCTGTAGAATAAGGGAATAATAAGCTATTGTATGAAACAAACCTGGAATGTTAAGGTTAATTAACTTTAAAACATGGCTTATGCAATCAGTTAAGTCAGTAAAACCTCCTTAAGTCGGTAAAATTGTCCACCAGCAACAGTCCCTAACTGTTTCTGAAAGTGGTTTCTGATAAAGTGGCCACTGAGTGCAAACGAAATATCAAACTCAGCACTCTGTCCATTTTCACCAGCAGAGGGCGCTCTCTCACCGTGATTGTGTAGTTCCCAGGCAGCAGCAGCCTGTAATACTCCCCATTACCATCTGTTCTGAATGGACAAAGGTTTCTTCTCCCATTAACCTCCACTGAGGCATTCTGGACAGGGATCCCATTCGAGTCCAGCACTTGACCTTTCAAACCTGTGGGAAATCAGACAAGAAAGCTCAGATTTCCACTTAAGCACTGCTACAGCAAAATCAAACATGCATGTGAAAGGTAGTGCACTGCAAAAAACGAGTGAAAGCATCTTCAATGTTTATTTATTGACATTTAATTACTAACAAAGGATTATTCAAGCTACTTGTAGACATTTCCACTCATAAATGCATTATTTCTAAAAAAAAAAAGTGACATTTTGCTAGTGCAATAACATGATTTCTCTTTATGTTATTACTTTAAATTGATAAAAAAATTTTAATAAAAACAGCTGGCAACAATATATATACAGTTGCAAAAATTTGAACACCCCCTTGATCAAATTACAGATGTGTTTGATTTTCTAAACACAACCTCTACATGGAACTCAAATATGGTATTTTTCTACAAATATTATTGCACAATTTCTGTTTATTTGAAGACTTTAACATACTGTAAAATAAATAAATAAATAAATTGACCAGTGGCGCCCATATATATGTAGGGTTTCTTCCCAAGATGCTGTAGATCCATTTTGGGTATAATGAGCTTTTAAAAAGGAAAAACTGCTGATTTCTATCAGGAAAAAAAAAAATATATATATATATATATATATATATTTATTTATTTATTTATTTATTTATTTGATGAAGGTGGTTTTAATTCTAATATAACACTGACATTTTGTATACGCAAAGCCCATTCCCAACAATGTATATCATGAAAAACATTGAAAGTGGTCTCTTATGTATATATTCTGTAAAATTCCGTGGCAACTAAATCTTTTCAATTGAACTTTATGTTGAAACCAACATTTTGATAGCGTAGATGATGATTTAATGGTTTCAAGTTGTAAAGGCTGGCATGTAACAGTGTGTGAAAGCTAAAGACAGAACGTAGGTTTTTCCACTGTTGGTTTGAATCAATAATCAGACAAGCAGTCTAAAACTGTATCACACATTAGCATCTTTCCACTTTCTTAAGCTTCATTTGAGACTAGATATGTGGCGTCAATGCAGCGTCTTTGTCTAGACACTCCAGCTAAATACTGCAGGAGATTACAGAAGGGTTCAGCACCCTTTTGTCTAGACTGAGTTTTTCAGTCAGTTATCAGAATGGACCATTCACTTTTCCACATCAGTTCATTTCACTCCAAGCAAACATTTCAGTGACTGTTTATTTTGATAGTAAACTGCAGACGCTCTACAGACGCTGACCTTGTATGCAAAAGTTTGGATGCCCTTGATCAAAATACATGTTTTGTTGATTTTCTAATTGAAACTAAGTTAATACTTCTAAAGCAGGGGTGACCACACTGGGGTTTGAGGCCCAAAAAAGTCAAAATAATATACAAATAGCGATATACAAACAACTAAATTTCTTATTATGAATATGAATTTAATAAGTTAGGGGTACTGTGCAAAAGTCTATACAAATACATTAAAGTGTAAATTGGATTAAATATGTTTTTTCAGGCTCCCAAGTGGTGCAACCATCTAAATGCTGGCACTGTCATTGGAAGTTTTCAAGTTTGGTCCATGTTAGCCAATTTGGGCATCTGTTAGCCGACATACAGAATTAACAGTTAATGTTCTCCTCCAAACGTGTTGAATTGTCCAATGATGTTACTTTAGCAGCAGCTGGAAAAGATGCAGTGCTGCTTTTCATGTCTCAAAGGAAGCACAGACTAATCTTCACACTCCTAGCTTGGTAGCATTGTGTATGATGGGGGAGACCTAGTTAGTACTGGCCATGACTAATTTGTAGAGAAAATAATCAAATCCAATTTTACGATTCATTTAATAATTTCTTTAAAATTTTTAATAGAATCAACGTGAGGTCAATTATTCACATCTCTAATTACTAGCGTCTCTAGGTGTAAAGTCATCTGGAACTGCTGCCTGAAAAAAGGAACTTGGTGCTGTTTATTGATTTATTTTTTGCTTTAGACCTTTTATTGTGAGCTCAGACATTTATTGGGGTCAGCTTTCATTGCTGGTGTGTTAGTTGAAGGTGTGGACCGCAGTGTCATGTTGATACTAAGGCTTTGCTCAGACTACTGAGCTGGAGCACTATCACATGACAGAAAGTCATGGATATGCTGGTATCTGTGTCTCTTATGTTGTGTTTGATGATAAGGGTGACTTTACAGTGGTACAGTGGCACTACAATGGTGACCTTACAGCAGTGATACTACAGTAGTGATACAACAGGTTTAACCACACCTGACTAACAATAAGAAATAATTATAGAGTTGGAATTATACATTGATATTGTTTCAGTGTTCACTGTTTGTCAGTGTTCAGAAAGTGAATGTTTAAAGGAGGAGACTAATATTTTTGTAGAATATCCACTTTAAGCTCTAAGGGCCTGACCGTGGACCCATACTTCAATAACCCACCCTAATAACTGCAACTGAGTTTCACAGTGTTTACTGAAGAGGTCTTCAAATCAATTGTTGAATAATGAGGCTGCAGTTTAAGAGGTTACCAAGAGATGTGGAGGAACCAATGGTGTGAATTTTTATTGGTAGTGTGAGAGCAGAGTTGGTTGGCACACTGTTCATTTCCAGGATAGGAGAAGGCACAGTCGTGGAAATGTGACATTAATATGTTTGCCTTCTTTATTCTTACTCATTTATAATGTCGAGACATGTGACTCCACAGGAGAGGCAACTTCTCCATTTTGTTCTAATACATCCTTTCTTTGTTCTACATTTTGCTGGTAGACAGGAGATCCACTGTATGTTTGATAGCATCCAGACAGTCCCAATTAGAGAATTCAGCTTCTTTAAGTGCACTCTTGCTGACACAGGAGTTCAGTTGGGACAGTGGCGCAGCTGCATATAAGCCTAAGGTAACCATGGCTGGCTAGAGTGGCCAGAACTGGGCTGTAGAGCAGACAAATTGTTCTCTGGAGTGATGGAGCTCCATTCAATATCTTTGGGATGAGTTGGAGTGGCATTTCTGATTCGGAACTAATCATCCAATATCAGTGCCTGACCTCATTAATGTTATCGTGGCTGAATGCAATTAAAACCTCACAGCAACCTTCCCAGAAACACAGAGGCTGTTACTGCAGTACAGAGGGACAAACGTTCTATTAATACCCTTGATTTCAGAAGAAACGCTGGATAGTGTATAGGGCAGAAAATGAAAACTGCCAACCAGCCCTGCTGTCCCCTCATTTTCTTGTTTATTATATATTTCTTTTTTTCCATATAGGCTTCTTTACAGCTACACATTCTTTCAGACTCATAGCACTGACATCTTCTTATAGTGGAAGGATGGACAAAAACAGCTGTGGATTTTTTTTAGATCTAAAGCAAAAGTGGAGCTTGACTTTCTCCTTTCTCTTAACAAACGAAACATTTAAGGACTGTTTATCTGATGGTGATAGTGTTGGTCATCTACCAGGTCCTGTATGATTCTAGGAGTCCCTTTTCTGAATGTCTTTTAGTCAATTTTTGAGCCACACTTTTGAAACTCAAGTTTTTTTTTCACTGATTTTCCTTTTTGCTCTTTGTCTCAGACTTTTGTAAAGTACGTACAAGTATGTGTGTGTGTTTGTGTGTGTGTGTGTGTGTGTGTGTGTGTGTGTGTGTATGTGTGTGTTTGTGCATACCTAGATGAACTTGCTGCATGTATGCAAGCAGTGCAGGCTTGTTGGCCGCCCACAGACCCGGCAGCTCATTCTCTGGAGGGAACTTACAGCAAGACAGTTCCAGGGTGAGCTCCAAACACTGACCCCACACATAATTATAGTCCTGCATTCCCCCTGGGAGAGAGAGAGAGAGAGAGAGAGAGAGAGAGAGAGACAGAAAGAGAGTAGACTCTAATCTCTGTCTCATGTCTCATGATAAACCTTCCTATCATATTGAAAAGAATAAACAGGATTTGTTTCATGGTCTCTGCCAAACTTTGCATCTTTACAGTAAATTTTTATTTAATATTAATGTTATTAATATCAATATTAACATTTATTTATGTATTTTTTTATTTCATTATGACTTCATTGGCAGCCATGTTAGGATCATCTACAGGTCTCTTTATCCTGGGCACACCTAAACTTTTTTTTTTTTTACAATTTCCTACTAATTATTCAAAAATGAATTAAGTTACAGTACTAACACCATATTAGAACTCTATTGGTTTTTTGTTAAAAACATGATTCTGAACTTTTGAATAGTGACTTTAATCTTTTGAATGGTAGGGTACCTTTATGATGTTGAACATTTGATGAATTATGTTGTGAAAAACAGTTCAGATTTTTGATCACACTGTTTCCAAAGAACTTATCAGGGCATCATTAAAGGGCCTATGACATGGAAAAACAAACTTTCTTTGCTTTCGGAAATACCACTTTTCTGTGTATGTAGGATGTAAACACTGTTTCAAACCTAGTCACTCACCAATCCATAAAGTCTAAATTTGGAATTTAAGCTGCAAAAACAGCTTGTATTCATTGTTTTTGTGATGTCATAAATGAGGTGTTTTCATCCCAGATTGCTATTTAAATGATGTATAATACACAGAGGTCATTTACATCTATATCAGTCTTAAAGGCACAGTAACAAAACAGCCTGTTTAATCCTAATGAATAAAGAGAGGTTTGAAAATGGGCAGGGAAAAATGATGACTGCTTTCAGTACATCAAGGAATATAAACATCAAACATGAGTCTCAGGAAAATAAAACCAAAACAAATGTAGGGTATATGCCCTTTAGATGTTACTATCCTATTGTACCTGCGAGGGGATACCAGCCGTAGCCATTGGTGATGCCATCAGCGAAGTCTTTGGAGTCGTGGCAGCTGTCTCCTTTGTGCATGGTGGTGTGGTTGAATGAGTAAGTCTTGGCCAGGTGGATGAAGACGTCATTATCCGGGGTGATGCTAGACCCCTGCTGCAGCTCACTGCCTGGATGAGGTTCAGCGCAAGCGGATCACACCACAACATCACGACAACATTAACATAAACAGACCGGTTTAGTAGAAACTAGAGTCATACAGCTCAGGGCTAAAAGCTCCAGTGTAGCTCATATCATTAACACTTCTTGGCAGATATTTCTTAGAGATTCAATCATGCTGTAATGGTTGATTTTCAGATTTCAGATCTGTCAGATATATCATAATTCTATGATTTATTACATAATTCATGACGCATACATGCTTCAAACTGTGTAAGCAGGGGTGCCCTTGGGTGGGCACGGAGATTAGAAGGATTCCAAGGGCCTTTATGTGACTTTAAGGCTTGGAGAAAGATTCTTACTGAAACACTTTGTTCATTAAACAATATTAAAGGCTACTTTTAGATACATTATCTTGCATTCTGACATCCCTCCAGTGACCCCTTCTGTGTAAATGTTCAGTGGTTTAGCCCTGACATGATATCTAAAAAGAACTGAAGAAACACTACAAAAAAATTAAAAAAAGAAAGAAATGGCAAGAACTACAATAATAGTACGTCACCCAGTTTTTTAAAGGTAAAGGTGGTTTATCACGAGATACTGGAAGCTTAAAAAAGATTATGCAATAGTAACTACAGTCACAAAATAGAACTGCTAATTTTTTATGTTTTCAGGTTTTTCCCTCTCAAATCAATAGTACAACATACTCTCTGTTAAGGTGACATGTTCTCTCCACCACTGTAACATAAAACTTTAAAATTCAAAACGTTTTGGCCTGAGTGATGCATGTACGAAATTTTCAGGAGGCCCAAAATTCTTACCAGTTTAACATCTCAATGTGATTTGAAGTGAATGTTGATTTAGGCATACATTTAGGTTTGCACAGTGCTAAGTGGTGGAATTCTTGTTAGGGGGTGGCCTCTAGACTTGTGGTAGGAGAGGCAAGCCAGCAACCAGAAGATCGTAGGTTTAAATCTCAGAACTGACTAGGTATTCCTGGTTGTGTTCTTGGACAAGCCACTTAAACCCCCCTACTGCCCCAGATGGCACTGCTCTACTCGTGACAGCAGCAAAGCTACAAATTTCTCTTGTAGGATCAAAAAAAGTATAACATTAGCTTCATAGCTCCAGTATAAAACTAAATATGTAAATTTCAGACACAAAACATGTCTTGGATGATTGATTACATTCAGAATAAAAGAAAAATCACATACTTTTTGAAGAGTTACTGCTATAAAATGTCCTGATCCAGCTATTTTCCAAATAGTTCCGACTAACCTCCATTACTGTTGTCATAGGGGTAGCTGGCCACCACTGCTCCTCCATGGAGGTTAGCGGAAAGGACAAATGTTTCTGTCTTCAGCCATGCCATCACAGCTACCACCTCTTTCTCCCTCAAAAGCCCATTATCACTTGAGAAAATGTCCGGAAAATTACGGTTGAGGTCCACACCATTCTTGTTGAACCTGTGAAGGTGAGACATTAAAGTGAAGGTTTGGTTTGGACAACAGTCAAATTGACACAATCTTCCTCATACCACAAATATAGTGGATCAGCCATGTTTGCTAACAAGTAATGGATGTTTACAGCCAGAAGTTACCATTGTGCAAACTGTGTGCCTACATCATCACATGCTTGCCTTAAACCACATTAAGTAATCCCAAAATAGACCTACTCATGTGGTTTCTGACACATATACTGTTGTCTACAAAAATGGACAAAAGTATGTAACAGCAGCAGACATGTTGAAGCCAGGATTTTGTTTGTTTTTTCTAGGTAATAAAGTGTCACTAAAGCTATTTGAGATTACTTAAAACTCAACACTGTTCGAGACAAGTGTGTGATTTATGCTCACTGTTTTTTTATACTCCTACACTCTTAAAAAAAAGAATGGTTCTTCAAAGGTTCTTTAGTAAAGAGAATGGTTCTATTTAGAACCATGAGTTCTATGTAGAACCATTTCATGCTTAATGGCTCTTTGCACGGTGAAATCATTCTTCAGATTGATGGAGAATGTGGTGTATAAGGTTCTATATAGGACTTTTTTGAGAATGGTTCAATTTTGCACCAGAAATGGTTCTTCTATTGTTACAAGCTTGACATACTAATAATAGAAGAACCCTTTTTGGTGCTGTATAGAACTATTTTCAAAAAAGTTTTATATAGAACCATTTGCAACACATTCTCCATCAATGTGAAGAATGTTTTCATCATATAAAGAACCATGTAAGCATGAAATATAGGGCTCATTGCTCTAAATAGAACCATTCTCTTTACTAAAGAACTCTGAAGAACCATCTTTTTGAATGTGTAATGTACTTTGATTCTTTGCTTAAATACAGAGATTGACTGTCACTCAGTTCACAGAGTAGGGTCAAATGTCCATTATGGGGCATTTTTAGAGAGGAAAATGACATACAGATCTTGTTGCAAACCAAAAAAAAACAGGAAACTATATGTTAACCCAGACCATTATCCCCATTCATTGAGACTCAAGAGACAGAGTGGCTGAAAACAGTACTCCAGATTACAATAAAGGGCTTGTTAGCATAGCTTATACATTGGCAGTATGTTGTGCATGCATGGATTGAGTCAAAAGTCAAAAATGTCTTATTTGTCATTCTATTCATGGCTGCTCTCCATGTCTTTTTTGTGAGACATGCAACTGTTCAGTGTTCTAGAAGTACTGATGATATCCATGATATACTCAGAAAAGCAGGTCATGATGTAGTTTATCACCAGAATAATGTCATATTGTCCAACTCAAAGTACACCAATGAATGCAAAAAATGAAAATACAGTTGAGAAAGAGAATGAGAAAGTAAAGGAATTCAAATATTCTAACCTTAACTGAACTGTAAAAGCCAGTAATAACTGTTAAAATTAATTTATAATTAAGGCATAGGTGTAATACAGGTCTGGTCCTGAACGTTTCCTGGTTACTGGATTGTCTCTGTCAAAAGCCCTATCAGAACTTTTCCCAGAGAGGTTTGTGTAATGTAACTTGCAGAATTTGATTGGTCAGCTGGTCAGGGATAAAGTATCTGTGTAATTTTCCCAAACTCCCACAGACAGCCCAAACTGAAAGGTCAGAGTCTGGATGATCACTTCAGCATTACAATACTGGAAACACTCAGTAACAATAACAGCACACCACACAGCTGTGTCTATTAGTAGATTTTGTTATTCCATTATCATAAGCTGTTTTGGTACAGGGCTAGTATTACTGAGGGAGCTCCGGGTTCAGCCAATTAAGACCAAAAAACCCCAAAACTACACACAGCAAATAGTGCAGATTCATACTGCATCAGATTCTAAAAACTACACACACTGCAGATTCATACTGGATTAAGATAAAGATCTTCTCTGTAATCTCTTAAATCATAGAATCTCCCTGGGTAAAACTAATTCAGTGCCACTGGAGTTTTAACCTTAACCTTTAACATCTAAGATCAAGTTTTAACATCTAACCTTACCAACAAATGTAGCTCAGGTCAGCCTCCAAATATGCTAGCCTCCTTCACCTTACAGCAGCTAGCATTAGTCAGCACAGAACTCTGTGACTCATGTGTGCTTGATTAGCTGATGTGTTCCCAATAGGCCTGTGTGGTAATACAGCTTAATCCCCCACATTAGGTAGTCCAAACCACTCTGCACAGAACTGCTGCGCTCAGCGATTCCTATCTGATACACATCAACAGAACTGTGAAGTGTTATTGCAGAGCCGTCACAGTAGCAGGTACAGTTCAATACAGTTCATTTTAGCTCACTGACTTTATCTGTTTGCTGCTTTTTATTATTTTCTTTGGATATAAACACAAAAGTGGCAAAGAACAGCACTTTTTGTCTACAACAATCCTTTCCCTGCCATCACAAAACATAAAAAGGGAAGTGACACGATACGTCAAAGCAGTCGTGTTACAAAATTAACCAATCATGAAACCCCACACACGGCGCCGCAAGCGGATAACTTCTACACGGGCAGTGGACCACACCAGAGTTCACTCCAAGTGAACTCCAGATCGCCGATTTCAGGAGGACCAGACATTGTCTCTCTGGATGCTCCCAGGTTTGAAAACAGCTTTCACACTTGAGCAAATGCACCAAACTCTCAGAGCAAGCAGTCCTGGGTCCAGAAACAAGCTCTAGTGTGAAAATGCACTGAGATGCTCCAGTGAGGGACAAAAGCATTTGGTTAATCATGTCTCAAATAAAGAACATACACGTTTAGGGCCATAGTGCATCTGAAGTCTGTCTAATGATGACGATGTTCAACTGACACAACCTAACAAACACAGCTGTGGTTATTTCATTTTCTAACAGCGGTAAACAACCTTTCTCTGTTAATCCAGGTTTAGATACTTAGGCTGTGATTCATCCTCATGCTTGTGCACATGAAAGCAAGACCAACAGACAATCATGTGAAACATGACAAGCAGTCATCAAAGAAGATACTACCTATGCTACCTAAATATGTAGAAAGTAATGCATTTATTACAGTGAATAAGAAACGCTGAGGCCACTGGAGTTACATAGAACTAAGCTTAAAGTTACCTGGGTAAGCAAGAAAGAATGTGTTGAGAATGCTGAGAAGGTTGTCTGTAGTTTAAACTGTTTTATCATCAGCAATACACAAATTAGCAAGGCAGCTTGTGGTTGTCATTGTTATTAGTTACCTTCTAATTTGACAGTACATCAGCTATCAAGATGGCAAGGCCCTTAAAAGTCCTGCTTTGGGCCCCCAAAAGGACATAGCCAGCCCTGATGGAAGGCCACAGCTCACTATTTAGCATTGTTTAAATTGTATGCCTAAATCATCACATACTTTAAATAATCTCAAATAGACTTGCTTATGTGGTTTTTGATACTGTGTAAAATATTGTTACCTACAAACATTACTAAAAGCATTTTCAAAATTCAGGCTTTAAGGTGATTCCCTTTTTTAGCTAGGTGTCAGTAACAGTGTGTCAAAAAACGAATAATTGTGTGAGGTTGTAATTACTAAACACTGTTAACACTTGATGCTGTTGGAAGGTATTGAGGTATGAATTTTGTTAATTACATTAGCATGCTAGCTCCAGTACAAAATCACAGAAGCAAGCTTGTCTTGTCTTGGCTGATCAACCACATTTGGGGCCAGGGGACAAATCTAATGAATTAATTTTCCACCACATTATTCAATGTATAATAGTTTAAGTTTTTACTTAAAGTAAAACATGGGCAATATACATGTATGAAAAAGCTCAGAAGGTTTTACGAAGATTTCAGAACTTTGTGGGTGGTCAAGTTTGGAAAAACAAATGTAAAACTTGTAGCAGTAAACAGGAAGCGGGACATGTTTTACTGTTTCTTGTTTTTCCTGTAATGGCAAACAGTTTCTGATTGCACTCACAATACAGAAAAAGCTGAATAGGCCACAAAGGAAAACAACCTCCAAATGTCCAATTGCTCCAACTCCCAAACACTCCCTTAGATGACAGAGTTAGAAAAACGCGCAAATCTTGGATCCATTAGACTTGCTCTTTGAAAGCTCTATAAACATGAATGGGATTCTGCTTTTTTTTTTTGGATGTAACCCTTTAATATTCTCTAACTGAATTTTCTCACACAGAGCCAGTCAAAAGTTTAGGAACTCTGTTGGAATAATCTGCATATTTCAAAACTGTGAAATGGATTCATGCCAAGAAAGTAAATATCTTCTATTTTAGATTCTTCAAAGTAGCCCCCCGTCTTTGTACACTCTGTCCACTCTTGAAAGTAGCTTCATGAGGAATCACTTGGGATGATTTTCATTTCATTTCAGGACTGAAGAAAATGTACATATACAGTGAAAAATGTTCACAAACTTTCAAACAAATGTCCTAACTTTTGGTAGGGTACAGCCCAGCACATTTCGGCTTATGCTAAATACTATTTAAAATATTTAGGCAATATTACTTTTTAAAACAATCGATATACATATCCTTGCTATAAAGGAAACATAAACATATGAACAATAAGCTAAAAGCAGCATAACTGCAAATGTTGCATCTTACACCTTGTGTGCAAGGTTAAATGTAACAGACTGAGGGGCTAGTTGTAACAGTTGACAGAAACGACTAGTAAATTGATGCTAACACAATTCATCCTATACAATTTCTTGAAACAGATGAGCTTTCCAAGGTAAATACTTGTAAAATATCTGCATCAAAATAAATACAATTCGTGGAAATACATTGTGTTTCCTCCCACAGTCCAAAAACATGCAGTCAGGCTGATTGGACATGCTAAATTGCCCCTAGGTGTGAGTGTGTGTGAATGTGTATGTCTGTCTGTCTGCCCTGCGATGGACTGGCAACCTGTCCAGGGTGTATCCTGCCTTCCGCCCAATGACAGCTGGGATAGGCTCCAGCACCCCACCGCGACCCAGAAGGATAAGCGGTTTAGATGGTGGCTGGATGGATGGATGGACATTGCGTTAAACATA